GGAGATATCAGAAGCTGCCTTTGGTTCCATGAAAATTTGAGAAAATGTCGAAAACATGGCTGCAAATTAATTCATTGCAAAGAGCCATGACCATCATCCACACTGCAGAGAGAGATGTCAGCATGTTATTCCAAGCACCAGGCTATCTCAACGAGTTATCTTATGCTGATAGTGTGTGGATTACCCTGTCTCCTCGGATGGCTACACTCTTCAATCTAGAGAGAGATCGGGGTGCCGCGTTTCGGGGGTGGGGATTCGGCTACAAAGAGCCACGTCTATTATCAAACAAGTCGTGCATTTTCAGTAATTAACAGGCTTGCTGTTCTGAAATATTATTACCAAAGTCATACACCATCTTCAGGAAAAAAATCTATGACCATAACTTGTTTTAACACACTGACTATTCATAAAACTGTATCCGGTGTCGATGTCCAGTGTTTGTGCCTGTATTCCTCTAGCCTACCTGGAAAATTTGTTTGTAAGTAGATATTCATCCCAAATTCAGTTTAATAAGCAGTGGGCAGAGGTGGAAAAGTGTTTTTTTTTTATCTGTCTCTGACAACCTTATTCTCTTATTTACTGGAGGCCCATATGCCTACATCACAGGGGAATCTATGAAATGTTGAATTTGAGCTGTAGCCCCTAACGGAACGCTGTCACACAATTCCAAAGAAAGGATAATAAAACCAACGAAGAATTTGCTGCTTGAAACGTTTAATATCAATCACGTCAAATTACCATAGAATCACGTCAAAAAGTGAATAGAATTTAATGCAAACCCTCCACCTTTTGAGTAAAATTGAATTAAATAAAATGTGATGACGTTAATAACACAAAAGAAATTACTTCAAAGAAAAAGTTAATTAAACAAAACAAACTGCACCCGAATATTAAAGTCCTTACGGTCACGTTGGGGGAGTGGGGGGGGGGGGGGGTGAGGGGAGCCCCAAACAGGTGTAACTTTTGCAAAATTGAACCGGAATAGGAGTGAAGACGACTGTTTCTGAATTGATGCTTTTACAATTTTACAATTGATTCCATCATGTACTTAATCGTCCTTCCTTCATTTTTACAAGTGATGCATACAGAACACATCACTTGTGAATTTCGACTAAATCCATTTCACCCAAAAATCTGGCGAAAGGTGCGGCCTTCAGGTTTCCCATAAAGCACTGTAGAGAATCATACTCCCTTGGACCTTTCCTCCCTTGTGCAATTTTGGTGTTTTTAAATGTTTTGTGTTGGGTCTGTGATAAGCCTATTTTCCATATAATCGTTAGAATCGCCGACAGCGTCGCCGAAGGGCCCCCTATGCTACGCCGACATTATGGAAACGTCTTGTCGGGGACTTCTCCAACTGACGCGAACACGGACGGCGATAGTCGGACGTACTGCCTGCGAAGTCAGCGATATGAAAACCAGGTTTTATGTGACTGTCATTGTGCAGGGTTGGAGAGACACGCCCTATTGGCGACAGTGTTTTGTTGCACTTTTGTTCTTCTCTTTGGCAGCCCCGCACTGCATGTCCACGTTCTGTCTTTCGTGTGTAGTGTTTACTTGGTTTCTTATTGTTTGTGTTCCTTTGTTTTAATATCCAATTGTATGTATTTATTGTAATTGTGTGTATTTGAATATGCCGAATAAAAATATAATAACAAGTATACCCTTAAGAGGCACTTTAGCGTCCTAAGTTGTACCTTTGGGAGACGCATCACATTAGGGAGACATTTCAATGTCTCCCTAAATCCATATCCCCTTTTAAGAGGAGGCAAAATGTTAACGTCGCAAATAGACTAGATCGATTGCTCGTGGTCCAGTTAGTGAAAATACCGATTTTTTTTTTTGGGGGGGGGGGTAAGATAAGGTAACATTGAGGTAAGGGGTCATTAAAGTTGGGAAAATGTGTGCACAAGTCTATGGGAATGTCTCCTCAATACCCAATTATCGGTAATTATTATTATTTATTGTTATTGTTATACATGTAATGGTACCATTAAGGAGACACGTTATCGTAATTTCTTCGCACAATGGGAGACATTGGTCATTAAGCCCCAGTTCATACCTCACGTGAAAGCGAAAGCGAAGCGAAATTCGTGACGTCAACGATACAGTCAAAGCGCGTCCACCATTGTTGACGACATGAATTTCGCTTCGCACATGCTTTCGCGTGAAGTATGAGCCGGGCTTTAGGGAGACATTTAAATGTCACAGCCCCACTTTAGAGGCACAATTTTAATGTCACAATTAGGTTATATTTGAAGCTCGGGGTCTAATTAGTAAATATACCGAAATTTGTGTATAAAGGACAAGGGAATATTGGGTTAGGGCACATCTAAGTTTGAAAAAAATTGTGCACAAGTCTAAAGGGATGTCTCCCAAAATGTCCAATCCAGGGTAATTATTATTATTTTTTATTAATGGCCTCTCCGCACTCTTGGGGGTTCTAGTTGTACAATGTTTCAAACCAAATAAAAAGCCTTAATTGGACTTATTCAGGGCTGAGTTTTTTAAAATCAAATTTTCAACAAAAAGTAAAAGAACAAAAACAAATTCCCCTAAAACCCAGAGTAGTCGTAACAAGTTAAATTCAACAAAATAAAAGTCTTAACGTGGAACAATGACAAATACCTGTTGTTACTTAACTGCTCGCGTTTGTTGGCCTCAATGTTTCGAACTACACAGCAGTGCAAACCAAATTAAAGGGAAAATACAACATTTGCAAACATCAACAAATAAAACTACCAAATCATTTTGAAATACCTTGCTGGGCTGTTAGTGAATGACAGTGTAAAGCATCCTGTAAAATCATGGCACCTGGTATACTGTCATTTTCAAGAAAAGTGGTATTTTTGTATCAATTTCCAACGCTGGTCGGCCGACCAGCGTTGGAAAAAACTGGTTTTTTTTTCTTCAAATACTGGCCCCAATTGACCATCGCACTTGTTTGCAATCGATTACGCACCCATAAACGGGTACAAGCCAGCTAGACTTGTACCCTAACCTTACAATTCCCCAATGTATGTAAACTGCTCTGTTTCTGCTTATATGGAGTCAGGGAACCAGACTACAGGAAAATGATTGTTTTTCTTGGTTTTTATAGCATTTTCGAACCCAAAACCTCAAAAAAGTCAGTGTAACTATATTTGCTATATATTTCCGACCCCCCAATTCCATCCATTTCTGAAAATTACAGCAAAAGCAAATGATGTATATTCCCTTTAACTACTCGAGATAAAAGTCATGCAGGCTTTGTTTAATAAACGTAACATGGAAAGGATAGCGCAGTGATGGAATCTGCCACAAATAATTCACCTTGGACATATGGGTGAACATAATTCTTTGAAGTTTCCACATCCATGTGTTTTGTGTGTAAATCATATGCCAAGACTCAACCTACCTAAAGTTGACCAAAAATGAAAACTTAGAACTACTCATTACGAGAAAATATGAAACATAATTTCCTGAAAATGTAAGTCATTCTTAATTCGTAACAATAATTACGTTTTTATAAGCATTTCCGTCGGGTGCACGTATGTTCATCCCCTCCACTTAGTTTGTGCGTCAAAATTCCGCTAATGCCAGTGATTTGTCGAAATGGCAACGCCACGGTTGCGTTGACGTTTTTCGAAAATGTTGTTTTTAATCGTTGTCTGCTTTCCATTTCCATGCCTTCTGTCTTCATCGGTAAAAAAGGACAACTTACGTTGGGATTTTTGACATTTTTTTTCCAGTTTCCCCAAACATACCACGTATCACATCATTTGAATGAGAAAAATAAACAATGTTATTACAGGTTTGGGCTCCTTAGGTGGGTTCCTTAGGAGGGTTATAATTTTGTAGTTTTCTAGCATGCGTACATGTACATGTGTGTATATGTACATGTACATGTACCAACATGGTAGACCTGACGGCCTGTATTGTATAAAACACCTTCAATTCAGAAATAATAGTAGAATAATACAAAAAGCGTAGTTTGCGTAGAAACTTAAATACAATTTGACCGTTAAAAAACGGCGAACAGTAAGAACCGATGTCACCGATGTCGCCGTGCACGAACGGCCACGTTGGGCCGTCCACTGGAGGCACCGGCCCTGCTTGCGCATTGCGGAAAATCACGCTGCGATACATCGGTCAGCGGCAAACACGCTCACGCTTTCTATCTCAACCACTGACTTTTTGGAGTGTTTCCATCGCAAATTTTTTTAAAAACGATGACCAGTTTCTTTTTGTTAATTCGTAGTAGGTGGGTACAAGACTTAGGTACGAGTTCACCTGGGAACGAATTTGATGAATGCGGTTTGACTCGGGCACGAGTTGACCTTTCCCTTCATTCGCTGTCTGAATGTCATCAGGCAGGTACGTGGGCGCATTGGGTTTTGGGCGCATACGCTGTTGCACTTACACTAAAAGTCGGTGGATAAGTCGTTCTTATCTTTTTGAATTGTTTATCTACATGACAGTGTCTTTCAGTTGTTCAGGGAAACTGGAGAAATAGTTCAAAAATTAGATTGACTTACAAGGGCTTTTAAGATTGTTTTGGAAATATGTTTTTGTCCTTTAAAATCATCTTTAAATTCATATTTTATGGTCTCATAAATTTTCATAAGTTTAGTATGTCTGTAACTTGTGGAAATAATGCGACATTTTTCTCTGCTGATCAACAGGTGCGGAATATTGCCAAAATAGTCATAATCTTTTGGCCTGGTGACCAGACTGTCTAAGTGGTGGACAAGTACATTGGCATGAACATTCGGGGGTGTGTGATCAATAGTTGGATGAGAGAAGCCGACAGAATGATGGAAGATTACATAATTATTTATTCTGCAGAAATCAATGTAACTGTCGAATTTCACTTGATTAAATCTAAAAAGCAACTTTAAGGTAAAGTCTATACTAATTGCACGAGATATGAATTGGAATGATCATGTTTGGGATGCATTAGAAATTCAGTAAGTGAAGTTTCATTATTTCCCGGCCATACTTGTAATAGACGCAAAGTATTACACACCACATTTTCCTTCATCAACGCTGATGTCATCAAGTGCCATGTCACCATGGTAATCACTTCCACGTTCGCCAATGAAAATCACCTGCAAAACAAAACAATCAAAAACAGCAATAATCAGATAAAAATATTTAAGCATGTCTGCTTCTGTTTGGACGATCCTGTTCTTTTTTAGTTAAGGTCTCTTTCAGTCCATTTTTGTGTGTGTATCAAGATGATCTCTTGTCCAAAATCAAATCAAATACCAAAAAGTATGTGCATGATAAACACACTCTTTGGTACGTGATTCCCGTAAAGAGGCGTATTGATAAAGTAAACCGTTTTCTACATTAAGTAAATATATAATTGCTTTCTCAATTGGTGAGCAATCTTTGTGACTATAAATTGTTTAGATCCTTACCCGAAATTCGAGCCCAGAGGCAATATCTATTGATGCGTCCAACCACTTGTTTCCGTAGTTATCACTCGCTGACCAGCGGGCAGGGCCAAGACCACCTTGACCATCACCTGTGTAGACCGTCAATGATCCCATGCCTGTCCCGTACATGTGGTACCAAAATCTGACACACGCACCAGTGGCAGGTGCAATGGCTTTGGGGCTGTCTAGTCGAGCTTTATCGGATGGAAGTCTTGGACTCGATGCTTCAGTGTAGATGTAGACACCATTTGCTGTAAAATTAATTGTGCAGATTTTTTGGTTAAATTAACATTTAAGCCAATTTTGGTCAAAAATAATATCAGCAAACGGTAGTGAAGTTGTTGCATACCTAAAGTATTCCATGTATCAATTAATAATACATATTTAAACGTTCATGCATACGTACTTTTATTTGGTTTAACTTACAATTTCCTTGAGTGTGGTCTGCATTGGGCCCAGTGCTTGAGCTGGAGGTGCCACCGCTATCGAGTGTCCAATCGAAGTCATCATTCTGGCTGTTGTTGAATTGACATAGGTTGTAGGAATCGAAGTCACATTTCAAATCCATCAATGGCACGGTCGGCCCACCTGTGAACAATGGTGTACAATTACATTAAAATGTGTAAATGGGTGGAATGTAGTTTTTGCTCTACCTACTCTATCTACCCCTACGGTTAGATCATAACTTTGTTGTGTATTCACTGTGTTGTTTAATTTAAATACTAAACTTTGAACTGTAATGCATTGAAACTTTATCTTTTTTTCTACAGCATTTGCCAACGTATCTTAAACAATATCATTCGATTCATACAATTGCAAGAGGCTTCGCCGATTATGCCACCAACTGTGTTATGTCTTTTGTAATTCTACGTTTAATTCTTTAAGCTAGCAGTTGTTTTTCCAGAGTTTGTAAAATTTATGTCAGCATGTAAAGCAATTGATAATTGGTTCTGTCCACACTAACGGTTACAACTGATAACTTTATGAGTGAATCATGGGAGGTGGATTTCAAAGCAGTTTTCTTTAAAGACATTCCTGTACTATTCGAAATTGCACTAATAAATAAGTAGGCTGATTCATTGGTATTGGAAAAAATCACTAGGCCATCTTTAAGATGAAATGAATGATAATGTTCATAACAGGGACAATCTTGAATCATACTTTATATTCTTGGGATAAATTAATCCAGCGTATCCCCTGTATGTTCCATGTTACTTGTTTAGTGTAGAATTTGTATCATTCAAAAATAAAACAACCTGTATTTATGAAATACGGATGTGTCTTGATACATGTTCATAACATTGACAGAAATTTGTGATTAATTTCTGTCCCTGTTATGAACTGGGAGTCTTAAAGATGTGTACACCCTGTACTCAAAAATACCAAGAGGTTTAACCTAAGATCTGCCAGTGGCAATCCCTCAATTGATAGCTTTACATTAGGAACAAATTGGAGATAATTCATGTATTTCATTGACTGTCTCCCAACACTTAAAAATGAAATGTCTGTCCATGTTATGAACGTTAAATCTTGAATATAATCCTCTGTAAATTCTCGAAACCTGAGAAATTTATCCAACATGTTCTTACTAGGATATTGGATGTAGAAAGAGGGAAAACATGACAGATTACTTTATGTATGGACTCCTGTCCATGGTTCCCTCTTAAAGTCACACTTTTGTTACCGCTTGTGTGGACAGGCCCAATGCATAATGTAAAAGAAGGAAAAAAAAAACGTACTACATATTTCTTCATGGACGCTGATGTCATCAATAGCTATGTCACTTGTAAAATCACTTCCACGTTCACCCATAAAAGACACCTGCAGACATAAAAAAACACGAAGTGAAACAAAAACAAAAACAAACGTCGTTAACGTAAAGACTTAAGTAGCTGTTCTTCAGATAACTCCAAGCAAATACAATTGGGTATCAACATTCCTGACGCGTATTACCTATTTTTTGTATTTGAATGATTTTTTTTTAAATGACTGTTTCTAATCAACCATCTTTTTTTTACTCTGAATCGTTAAACAAACCTTTGAATTGTTTACCTGAAATTCAATCCCAGGGTCAATATCTATTGATGCGTCGAACCAGTTGTTACTAGCGTTACCACTTGCTGACCAGCGGGCAGGGCCAAGACCACCTTGACCATCACCTGTGTATACCGTCAATGATCCCATGTGTGCCCCGTACATGTGGTACCAAAATCTGACACACGCACCAGTGGCAGGTGCAATTGCTTTGGGGCTGTCTAGTCGAGCTTTATCGGATGGAAATCTTGGACTCGATGCTTCAGTGAAGATGTAGAAACCACTTGCTGTAAAATGAATCATTAAGTTCAGTTTCATTCATTCATTCCGGTCCGATATTTTGGTTCTATTTTATTGAAATATGGACCCTAAGTATTGTACTGCAACTTTAATTTTCTGCTAACAAAGTTTGAAGAGGCATTTTTTATATGTAACTTTTGTTTCGTCTGCATCTTTGAAAAAAAAAGCGTTTTGATGGACGGCAACAGTTAGTATGAAATAGAAGAGGGAATAGTGCGATAAGTGTCAATGTCATGAATTCCATCACTTAAAATGAACCGCTTTTTGGTTCAAGGTCTCTTTCTCACGTGAGAAGGCTTTGAATCGAGAGGGAAAGAAACAATTTGAATCTAACTTCAATATTTGGGATTGTGCTTGATATCATTACAATCAGTATATCTTTCCAAGGTTTTAAAGTGTCGTCATTTTCCTGTTTAAATTTTGTTTCAGTTTTTGCTTTTGCTTTTTCTATTTGGAAAGTAAAAACTTTCAAAGTCATATGAAAACAAGTTTGATCAAAATCTGGTAAGGGAAAGGAATAAGCATACTTTTAGAAACACCTTACCTCATCATGGAGAAATTCGCAGGGCAGGAAGAAAATTCCTTTCAAATTTGCTTTTTAAATTAACTTTTTAATGTGTACGATTCAACTTACAATTTGTTGTAGAGTGGTCTGAGTCAGGCCCGGTATCTGAGCTTGGGGTGTAGCCGTTATTGAGTGTCCAATCAAAGTCATCTTTTTGGTTGTTTATGAATTGACAAAGATTGTTGGAATTGAAGTCACAATTCAAGGCTGGCAATGGCACAGTTGGGTCTGTTGACAGAGATAGAAAATAATACCAAACGAGTAAAGGGAAGGAGTACACAGAAAGAATTCGTTGTGACAAACAAACAATAAAACATAAAAACATCATTAAACAAGTAGTTTTATGCTCTCCATATAGCTCTACACTTAAAATCATTCTTTTACTGTTAGTATATATAAATGTACTGTGCAGAGGTAAAATCATTTTCTTAGATTTTAACCCCGATTTCAAATTTTGTAATTTCTGATATTTTACGAAATTTTCCTATGGAGGTTTGCATCTTCCATTCTTTTGGTACTAGTGTAAAAGTCTGCTATCTTTGTGTATTGAGCTGCCCGCTTTTTTAGTTTTGAGTCGTACAGCTTTTTATATTGGTTTTTTCATTTTCCTTTTAAAAATATTTGTAAGTAAGTACATTTAATTAAAAAAGGGGCATTGTAGCCGAGCGGCTAGAGCGTAAAGCTACCGAGTGGAAGGTTGGCAGTTCGCGTCCCATTCGGACCAAAAACTGGTTTTATTAAAAAACAAAACAAAAAGTGTAATACAAAAGAAAACGTACTACAAGGGCCTTCATCAACGCTGATGTCATCAACAGCCATGTCACCTCTGTAATCATTTCCGCGTTCACCAACAAAAGAAACCTATAGAAATAAACGAATACAGAGTAGAGAGTAATACAAGCAAACGTCTGCACGTATACAGCTTGGCTTAATTAATCCCAAAGTGAACAACATTGGTTAATTATTTTCTTGACATGATTTGGTTTCTCAAAAAAATCTATTCCCTTCTTAATTAATAGTGTCTTTTATTTTGTGAGCCATCATTGTGACAGGAAGTTTTTTTCAGTTCCTTACCCGAACTTCCATCCCAGAAGCAATATATATTGCTGCGTCCAACCACTTGTTACCAGAGGTACCATTTGCTGACCAGCGGGCGGGGCCAAGACCACCTTGACCATCACCTGTGTATACCGTCAATGATCCCATGTCTGCCCCGTACATGTGGTACCAAAATCTGACACACGCACCAGTGGCAGGTGCAATTGCTTTGGGGCTGTCTAGTCGAGCTTTATCGGATGCAACTCTGGGATCAGATGTCTCAGTGTAGATGTAGAAACCATTTGCTGTAAAATTAATTGTGGAGATTGAATACATTAAGTTAGACAAAATGTACATTGTTTTGGTTGAACTTCAAATTTAACATTTAAGCCAATGTTGGGGAAATATCAGCAAACGGTTGTGAAGTTGTTGCTCGAGTGGATCAGAAAATAACTTTGTGATCGAAAACCTGATATATTCCCTGTATCAATTGAAATAGATGTATAAATGTACATGCATACGTGCTTTTCTATTTGTTTTATTAACTTACAAGTTCCTAGAGTGTGGTCTGCAATAGGCCCAGTGTCTAAGCTGGGGGTGCCACCGCGATTGAGAGTCCAATCAAAGTCATCGTTCTGGCTGTTGCTGAATTGACATAGGTTGTAGGAATCGAAGTCACATTTCAAATCCATCAATGGCACGGTCGGCCTACCTGTGAACAATGGTGTTCAATTATATCAAAAAGCGTAAAAGGGTAGAATTCAAGCAACAAAATATTGTAGTTTTTAATCCGCCTATTCTTTTCCCCCTACGCAGCCGTGTGGTTGCGAAGGCCTAAGCGCCGCCGTGTTAAACAACGTTAATCCGATTACGTATTTAGACGCTAAAACAGAGCAGTGAAATTCATGCACCCCAAAAATATGGCTTTTGGAACGTTGTGTTTCTCAGAAAATATGCTCTTTTATGATTGAAATGTTAAATTGTAACAGAAGAAGAAATACTATTCTTCATGTCAGTGAAAATGTCGTCGTCGTTGACTGCCTAAACGTCAATTCTGGTTACTGGTAGAGTTAACCTTAAAGTCGGGAAGAAATAGTTCAAAAACACATAAATCTCAATTTCTTAATTTTACACGAGCAGTTGAGCATTTATATCATCTAATTTTTTTTTTTATTTCAGCTTAATCTGCAAATTATTGTGTTACCAAGGTAAATTTCGACAAGAATTTTTTTGCTGACATAATTAGCTCACGTGCATGGTTTTCAAGTTTGCTGATTTTGGGGCAACAATGACGAAGTGTGTATTAGCGTATTCAATAGCGTGACTCGGCGTAATTCGCGTGGGTCTTTGTATCGACCAATGGAAGCTGGCAAAAAAAGTGATATGTATTTAAAAAAAAACTTGTGAAGGAAGCTATTCTGCAAACGTTTACTGCACACCATAATGTATAGAAACCTTATTTATTTTCGTGAGGCTTGAAAAGATTGTCCGACTTTGCAAACACCAGCGTTAGAACTTTAACAAATGTGCGTAACCAAGCCTATTTTTCCAATTTAACGAAAGGCACGGAACATATCACACCGATTTTAAGCACATACTTGGATCATTATAAGGGAAATAAATCCTGAAAGTTGCATAAAGATACGGTCTCCCAAACGGAACAAATTGGTTTTCAAAGGTTTCGCCCGCGAACGTGAACATGTCTCTGTGTGCATGTTGTTTAATTCAAAATAAAGTGTTACTTAAAGATATAGTCCATCATTTGTAATTTGTGCATTTTGCTCGTTTGAAGCACAAAAGTGTTCAAAATCTAATGAAGGATACTGAACAACTAACCTGATGAAGGTTCAGCTCAGCTTCAGCTGTATATGTTTCATACAGTTGTAAGAGGCTTCGCTGATTATGTCACCAACTGCGTGATGTCTTTTGTAATTCTAAGTTTAATTCTTTTAGCTAGCAGTTTTTTTTCTAGAATTTGTAAAATTTATGTCAGCATGTAAAGCAATAAATAATACATAATATAAAAAGAATTAAATAATACATACTACATTTTTCTTCATGATAGCTGATGTCATCAATAGCAATGTCACCCTTGTCGTCACTTCCACGTACGCCCACAAAAGACACCTGCAGAAACAAAAGAATTACAGGAATACAAAGTAAAACCAAAAATACTCAACAGGCGTCGGTAACATAGTATTACGGACTTCAGTCGCTGTAGATAAAAGACTTTTTTCTACCTTTTCTTTTACCAACTTTTTAACTGAACCTAAAAACAAGTTGTTTAATTCCTTACCTGGAAATCAACCCCAGAGGCAATATCTATTGCTGTCTCGATCCACAGTTTACCAGAGTTACTATTCGCTGACCAGCGGGCAGGGCCAAGACCACCTTGACCATCACCTGTGTATACCGTCAATGATCCCACGTCTACCCCGAACATGTGGTACCAAAATCTGACACACGCACCAGTGGCAGGTGCAATGGCTTTGGGGCTGTCTAGTCGAGCTTTATGGAATGCAACTCTGGGAGCAGATGCTTCAGTGTAGATGTAGAAACCACTTGCTGTTAATTCAATCATTGATAAGTTAAGATACATCCATTCCAGTTATAATTCAGGTTCTGTTTTACTTAAACACCTACCAAATCCCTTGGAAACGTTTCATTTTTCTCCTGATATATGTTCAATTTGTATTTTAATAATTAGAAAAAAAATCAACATTTTTTTGTCTGCATTTTTTCTGACCCAAAAAGGACTTTTGGGGGATGGCGACGGTTGTCTGCACAAGTAGATGGGCAAATAATTCGAAATGTTTAAATTATTCCATGAGGCCAAAAAAAAAGTCTCCGGTTTCTGGCATGGATCTTGCCCAAAAAATGGTGCGGCGACGCGGCTTTTTTTTTTACTTTTTTTTTTTTTGCTTCAAATGTCGGCTGATGACTGCAAATGGTGCCCAACTAAACTTAGTGCAAATATATGGAAGTCCAGAGAGGCCACATGAAGCTTATTCTCGATCATAACCCCCATCTAAAAACACGTTAAAATCGTGCAGCAGCAGGATTCCAGTCAAACCAGTGAGTTTGGCGGTTTTGAGACATCATCTTTTATTGAAAAAAAAATCATTTTGCCGACGCGCATGGCTACGGCGATGCGCGCGCATACCAGAAACCGGAGACTTTTGTTTGGGCCGAACTGAACGTGGACTGCATTTTGGTTTAATATCTATTTCTTAACCCTAAAAGGGCCGGACTTTTTCCGCGACAGCCTTTAAAACATTTTTTTTCGCGACCGGAGCTATTATGACTTTTTAGCCTCGAGCCTTGCACATCTTTTGACACCAAAAATATAAAAATCGGACAAGGGGTTGGCGCGCAGCGAAAATTTTTCCGGCGCTTCGCCGCCATGAAAACTGAATTTTCCCATATACGTCGTGTACACAGACCAGAATTACCCTTCGTACATATGAATAATTAATTAGCCATAATTCCAAAACCCTTTGACCTATAGTCATGACATTTCTTGAGTATGTTTATGTAGAGTTGCGTTATGCATGTAACGAGTTTCAATCTTTTTCGTCACTCGATGGCCGAGATCTTGGGGGGGGGGGCGGAATCCGCCCTCCCCCGGCTGAGAGATGGTCAAAATAACCCGGCCCTTTTAGGGTTAAATGAGAAGCCTTTGTACTCTTATAAAAAGTAGCAATTTGAAACTACGATGAATATTGGGATTAAACGTGATGTCGTCACGGGCAGTGTACGTTTTAAAATCTCATAATTCCCCCTTATTTTAACTTTTCCTTGATTTCCTGCTTTCTAGTGGTTACACTTCAAAAATGTTGATGAAAGCCAAATTTGCTTAAAATATGGCAAGGCAAAAGTAGTTATCCTTCCTCATGTTGTGGCATGAGAGAAAAGAAAAGGTAACTCGAGGAAACACCACCCTTAGCAGTTCACAGAGCAAGAACCAAATCCCTTTAAATTTTGCTACAATCTAAAGCCGGTCTCAGGTCGACCTGCGATTTGCTTGCGCCACGAAGGAACTGTCAGCATCAAGCAGAAAAATGATACTCAGGTCACAAAACTGAGAAATTATGTGATTCTCTTGAAACAAGCGGCATCCCGACGCAAAATAATCTCAACCATACTCATGTCACCGGGACGCGACGATCCACCACGATTCCACAGCATAGACAGTCATGTGGCTTCTTTGACAACAAAGGGAATAATTATGTGCTTGGCCGGTTCGGCTAAATTCTTTATCAGCGAGCATTCCCCTGATACGGTCTTCAATGTACTTCTATTCCCATTCACAAATACTTTTTGAGTAAAAAAGTCGACACAAGTCAAAAATTATACATTTCTAACGATTTTGTTGAACAGTTTTACTTCATTGCTTTTTTTTTTTTTTTTTTAAACACCCCTCTAGCTACGATATGGAATATCCTCTCGCAAGTAGTAGTAAACAATATGGTAAGGCCAAAAAAAAAGTCTCCGGTTTCTGGTATGGAGCTTGACCAAAAAGTGGTGCGGCGACGCGGCTTTTTTTTTTTTTACCTGATTTTTTTGCTTCAAATGTCGGCTGATGACTGCAAATCGTGTCCAACTAAACTTAGTGCAAATATATGGGAGTCCAGAGAGGCCACATAAAGCTTATTATCGACCATAACCCAATCTAAAAACACGTTAAGATTGTGCAGCAGCAGGATTCCAGTCAAACCAGTGAGTTTGGCGGTTTTGAGACATCATCTTTCATTGGAAAAAAAACCTCTTTCATTTTGCCGACGCGCATGGCTACGGCAACGCGCGCGCATACCAGAAACCGGAGACTTTTTTTTGGGCCTATTTGACGCGCTCGCTTTTTGCATATTGCGTGATGTTTCGCAGAACGAGGAGCGTCGGTGTGTAGTGTGCTGATTGGCTTCACAATAGACCCCTTGCAGACGCGTTCGATAATCGACGCGCGAAGGCGCGCGACGCCATGTTGTGGGACAGGCGTATATCTATCCACGCACATTTTGTCCCATAACATGGCGTCGCTCACCTTAGCGCGTCAATTATCGAACGCGTCTGCAAGCGGTCTATTGAAAAAGGATGTCTTGATGCGCACACGATCGCGAAGTCGTCGTATAATACAAGTTGAAATTTTCCTACTCTCAGACGGGGCTTGATCCTGAAAAGTCGGTCGCCTACTAATCTGTGTTGTCGCAAGAATAACCTGAGGCCGGCTTAAAACGTCATGAGTCAGGTTAACCGGGAATCCGGGTTCTATGAGGCATAAACACTTTTCCAAAATAAATTCACTTTTTCGGGTCAAACCATTCCATAAAATTCGTCAGAGAAGTGTCATGTTGACGCATAAGAGTGTCTTTTTTCCCCCAAAAGTATCGGGCCCAATAGAATAAAAAAAAAACCAGGTCAAATGTAGCCAGGACTTTTATATTTCGATTGTTTTTATAGTGTAGGATTTAACTTACAATTTCGTGTAGTGTGGTCTGCGTCAGGCCCAGTGTCTACGCTTGGGGTGGTGTCCTTATAGAGTGTCCAATCAAAGTCATCATTCTTACTGTTTATGAATTGACAAAGGTTGTTTGAATCGAAGTCACAATTCAAGGCTGGCAATGGCACGGTTGGGTCTGTTGACAAAGATAGAAAATAATATTAGACGAGTAAAAGGAAGGAGTACACAGACAGAATTCGTTGTGACAAACAAATAATAAAAAATGAAATACATCATTAACAAAAGTAGTTTTATGCTCTCCGTATAGCTCTTTACTTTAAATCAACCTTTACTGTAAATCATCAACTTGGCCTGCAACACTGATTGAAAATGTGTAATTTCTGATAATTTTAAGAAATTTTCCAATTGAGATTTTCAGCTAACATTATTTTGGTACTAGTGCGATATTCTGCTTTCTGTGTGAATTGAGCTGTCTGCTTTTTTAAAATTTGATTCGTGAAGCGTTTTTAACATTGGTTTTCTCCATTTTCCCTTTTGTAATATTTGTTAGTAAGTACATTTATTGAATAAAAACTAAGACAAAAGAAAACGTACTACATTGGCCTTCATCAACGCTGATGTCATCAACAGCCATGTCACCTTTGTAATCATTTCCGCGTTCACCAACAAAAGAAACCTACAGAAATAAAGGAATAAAGGAATACAGAGTAGAGAGTTATATAAAGAAAACCTCTGGACATATACAGCTGGGCTTCAGTTTATCCCAAGCTAACAAAATTGGTTATTAAACTTCTTGGCACGATTTGGTTTCTGAGAAAAAAACTATTCCCTACATTATTGATAGTGTCTTCTATTTTGGTGAGCCATCTTTGTGACAGGAATCTTTTTTAGTTTCTTACCTGAACTTCAATCCCAGGAGCAATATCTATTGCTGCGTCCAACCACTTGTTACCAGAGGTACCATTCGCTGACCAACAGGCAGGGCCAAGACCACCTTGACCATCACCTGTGTATACCGTCAATGATCCCATGTCTGCCCCGTACATGTGGTACCAAAATCTGACACACGCACCAGTGGCAGGTGCAATGGCTTTGGGGCTGTCTAGTCGAGCTTTATCGGATGGAAGTCTTGGACTCGATGCTTCAGTGTAGATGTAGACACCATTTGCTGTAAAAACCATTGTGGGGATGGAAAACATTGATTCAGGTAAACATTGATGATGTTTAGGTTGAAAATTGCAAATTTAAGATTCAACCCAATTTTGGAAAAATATCAGCATACGGTTGTGGAGTAGCTGCATGAGGGCATACGAAAATAACTTGATGATTGAACATCTAAGGTATTCCATGTATCAATTAAAATACATGTTTACATGTACACGCATATATACGTGCTTTTCTAGTTGGTTTAACTTACAAGTTCCTAGAGTGTGGTCTGCATTAGGCCCAGTGCCTGAGCTGCCGGTGCCACCGCTATCCAGTGTCCAATCGAAGTCATCATTCTGGCTGTTGTTGAATTGACATAGGTTGTAGGAATCGAAGTCACATTTCAAATCCATCAATGGCACGGTCGGCCCACCTGTGAACAATTGTGTTAAAGTATATCAAAAGTTGTAAAAGGGTGGAATTCAAGCAACAAAATAATGTAGTTTTTAATCTGCCTATTCTATCGACCCCAACAGTTAGATCATAACTTTGTTGTGTAATCTCTACCGGTATGTTGTGTAATTTAAACACCACACGTTACACGGTACCAGATTGAAACTTTATCTTTTTCTTTAACAGCGTTTCCCACCAACTGTCTGATGTCCTTTGTGGTCCTATTTTTAATTCGTTAAGCTAGAACTTGTTTTTCCAGAATGTGTTAAATATATGTCAGTATGTGAAGCAATTGATAATACATAATATACAAGGAATCAAATAATACGTACTACATTTTTCTTCATGAACGCTGATGTCATCAATAGCTATGTCACTTGTAAAATCACTTCCACGTTCACCCACAAAAGACACCTGCATCAATAAAGAAATACAAAGTGAAACAAAAACAAACCTCAACAAACGTCGTTACCATAAAGACTTAAGTAGCTGTTCTTCAGATAAATCCAAGCAAATAAAAAAGGTTATCAAACTTCCTGACACGTATTAATTATTGTTGGTATTTTGATGATTTTTTTCTTAAGTGACTGTTTCTAATCAAGCATTTTTCTAACTCTGAACCATAAAACAAACCTTTCGATTGCTTACCTGATATTCAACCCCAGGGTCAATATCTATTGATGCGTCGAACCACTTGTTACTAGCATTACCACTTGCTGACCAGCGGGCAGGGCCAAGACCACCTTGACCATCACCTGTGTATACCGTCAATGATCCCATGTCTGCCCCGTACATGTGGTACCAAAATCTTACACACGCACCAGTGGCAGGTGCAATGGCTTTCGGGCTGTCTAGTCGAGCTTTATCGGATGGAAGTCTTGGGCTCGATGCTTCAGTGTAGATGTAGAAACCACTTGCTGTAACATGATTCATTAAATTCAGATTCATTCATTCATTCCGGTCTAATATTTCGGTTCTATTTTATTGAAAGATGGACCCTAAGTATTGTACTACAACTTTAATTTTCTGCTAACGAAGTTTGAACAGGAATTTGTATATGAACACAACTGTAACTTTTGGTTCGTCTACATGTTTGACAAGCAAAAGCGTTTTGGTGGACGGCAACAGTTTGTGTGAATTAGATGAGGGAATAGTGCGATAAGTGTAAGGATGATGAATTCCATCACTTAAAATGAACCGCTTTTTGGTCCAAAGTCTCTTTCTAAAGTGGGAAGGTTTGGTATCGCCAGCGAAAGGAGCAATTTGAATCTGTAATCAATATTTGGAATGAAGCTTGATATCCTTACAGGCAGTTTATCTTTTCAAGGCTATCAAGTGCAGTAATTTTTCTTTTTAAATTTTGTTTCAATTTTTGTTTTTTCTTTTTGGAAAAGTCAAAACTTTCAAACTAAGAGATGAAAATCAAGTTTGATCAAAATCTGGTAAGGGAAAGGAATAAGCATAGGTCAAGCAGCATGAGAGAAAAGAAATGAAAACCTTCAGAAACACCTTACCTCATCGTGCAGAAATTCACAGGGCAGGAAGAAAATTCTTTTCAAATGTGCTTTTTTAATTAATTTTTACTGCGAATGATTTAACTTACAATTTGTTGTAGAGTGGTCTGAGTCAGGCCCAGTATCTGTGCTTGGGGTGTTGCCGTTATTGAGTGTCCAATCAAAGTCATCGTTCTGGTTGTTTATGAATTGACAAAGGTTGTTGGAATTGAAGTCACAATTCAAGACGACTGGCAATGGCACGGTTGGGTCTGTTGACAAAGATAGAAAATAATATGAGACGAGTAAAAGGAAGGAGTACACAGACAGAATTTGTTGTGACAAACAAATAATAAAAAATGAAATACATCATTAAAAAAAGTAGTTTTATGCTCTCCGTATAGCTCTTTACTTAAAATCAACCTTTATTGTAAATCATCAACTTGGCCTGCAACACTGATTGAAAATGTGTAATTTCTGATAATTTTAAGAAATTTTCCAATTGAGATTTTCAGCTTGCATTATTTTGGTACTAGTGCGATATTCTTCTTTCTGTGTGAATTGAGCTGTCTGCTTTTTTTAAAGTTTGATTCGTGAAGCGTTTTTAACATTGGTTTCTCCATTTTCCCTTTTGTAATATTTGTTAGTAGGTACATTTATTGAATAAAAACTAAGACAAATAATAAAACGTACTACATTGGCCTTCATCAACGCTGATGTCATCAACAGCCATGTCACCTTTGTAATCATTTCCGCGTTCACCAACAAAAGAAACCTACAGAAATAAAGGAATAAAGGAATACAGAGTAGAGAGTTATACAAGAAAACATCTGGACATATACAGCTGGGCTTCACTTTATCCCAAGCTAACAAAATTGGTTATTAAACTTCTTGGCACGATTTGGTTTCTGAGAAAAAAAACTATTCCCTACATTATTAATAGTGTCTTCTATTTTGGTGAGCCATCTTTGTGACAGGAATCTTTTTTAGTTTCTTACCTGAACTTCAATCCCAGGAGCAATATCTATTGCTGCGTCCAACCACTTGTTACCAGAGGTACCATTCGCTGACCAACGGGCAGGGCCAAGACCACCTTGACCATCACCTGTGTATACCGTCAATGATCCCATGTCTGCCCCGTACATGTGGTACCAAAATCTGACACACGCACCAGTGGCAGGTGCAATGGCTTTGGGGCTGTCTAGTCGAGCTTTATCGGATGGAAGTCTTGGACTCGATGCTTCAGTGTAGATGTAGACACCATTTGCTGTAAAAACCATTGTGGGGATGGAAAACATTGATTCAGGTAAACATTGATAATGTTTAGGTTGAAAATTGCAAATTTAAGATTCAACCCAATTTTGGTAAAATATCAGCATACGGTTGTAAAGTAGCTGCATGAGGGCATACGAAAATAACTTGATGATTGAACATCTAAGGTATTCCACGTATCAATTAAAATACATGTTGACATGTACAAGCATATTACGTGCTTTTCTAGTTGGTTTAACTTACAAGTTCCTAGAGTGTGGTCTGCATTAGGCCCAGTGCCTGAGCTGCCGGTGCCACCGCTATCCAGTGTCCAATCGAAGTCATCATTCTGGCTGTTGTTGAATTGACATAGGTTGTAGGAATCGAAGTCACATTTCAAATCCATCAATGGCACGGTCGGCCCACCTGTGAACAATTGTGTTAAAGTATATCAAAAGTTGTAAAAGGGTGGAATTCAAGCAACAAAATAATGTAGTTTTTAATCTGCCTATTCTATCGACCCCAACAGTTAGATCATAACTGTGTTGTTTAATCACTACTGGTATGTTGTGTAATTTAAACACCACACATTACACGGTACCAGATTGAAACTGTATCTTTTTCTTTAACAGAGTTTCCCACTAACTGTCTGATGTCCTTTGTGGTCCTATTTTTAATTCGTTAAGCTAGAACTTGTTTTTCCAGAATATGTTAAATATATGTCAGTATGTGAAGCAATTGATAATACATAATATACAAGGAATCAAATAATACGTACTACATTTTTCTTCATGAACGCTGATGTCATCAATAGCTATGTCACTTGTAAAATCACTTCCACGTTCACCCACAAAAGACACCTGCATCAATAAAGAAATACAAAGTGAAACAAAAACAAACCTCAACAAACGTCGTTACCATTAAGACTTAAGTAGCTGTTCTTCAGATAAATCCAAGCAAATAAAATAGCTTATCAAACTTCCTGACACGTATTAATTATTGTTGGTATTTTGATGATTTTTTTCTTAAGTGACTGTTTCTAATCAAGCATTTTTCTAACTCTGAACCATAAAAGAAACCTTTCGATTGCTTACCTGATATTCAACCCCAGGGTCAATATCTATTGATGCGTCGAACCACTTGTTACTAGCATTACCACTTGCTGACCAGCGGGCATGGCCAAGACCACCTTGGCCATCACCTGTGTATACCGTCAATGATCCCATGTCTGCCCCGTACATGTGGTACCAAAATCTTACACACGCACCAGTGGCAGGTGCAATGGCTTTCGGGCTGTCTAGTCGAGCTTTATCGGATGGAAGTCTTGGGCTCGATGCTTCAGTGTAGATGTAGAAACCACTTGCTGTAAAATGATTCATTAAATTCAGATTCATTCATTCATTCCGGTCTAATATTTCGGTTCTATTTTATTGAAAGATGGACCCTAAGTATTGTACTACAACTTTAATTTTCTGCTAACGAAGTTTGAACAGGAATTTGTATATGAACACAACTGTAACTTTTGGTTCGTCTACATGTTTGACAAGCAAAAGCGTTTTGGTGGACGGCAACAGTTTGTGTGAATTAGATGAGGGAATAGTGCGATAAGTGTAAGGATGATGAATTCCATCACTTAAAATGAACCGCTTTTTGGTCCAAAGTCTCTTTCTAACGTGGGAAGGTTTGGTATCGCCAGCGAAAGGAGCAATTTGAATCCGTAATCAATATTTGGGATGAAGCTTGATATCATCACAGGCAGTTTATCTTTTCAAGGCTATCAAGTGTAGTAATTTTCCCTATTTAAATTTTGTTTCAATTTTTGTTTTTCTTTTTGGAAAAGTCAAAACTTTCAAACTCAGAGATGAATATCAAGTTTGATCAAAATCTGGTAAGGGAAAGGAATAAGCATACGTCAAGTTGCATGAGAGAAAAGAAATAAAAAACCTTCAGAAACACCTTACCTCATCGTGCAGAAATTCACAGGGCAGGAAGAAAATTCTTTTCAAATGTGCTATTTTAATTAATTTTTACTGCGTATGATTTAACTTACAATTTGTTGTAGAGTGGTCTGAGTCAGGCCCAGTATCTGTGCTTGGGGTGTTGCCGTTATTGAGTGTCCAATCAAAGTCATCGTTCTGGTTGTTTATGAATTGACAAAGGTTGTTGGAATTGAAGTCACAATTCAAGACTGGCAATGGCGCGGTTGGGTCTGTTGACAAAGCTAGAAAATAATATTAGACGAGTAAAAGGAAGGAGTACACAGACAGAATTCGTTGTCACAAACAAATAATAAAAAATGAAATACATCATTAAAAAAAGTAGTTTTATGCTCTCCGTATAGCTCTTTACTTAAAATCAACCTTTTACTGTCAATCATAAACTTGGCCTGCAACACTGATTGAAAATGTGTAATTTCTGATGATTTTAAGGAATTTTCCAATTGAGATTTTCAGCTTGCATTCTTTTGGTACTGGTGCGATATTCCGCTATCTGTGTGAATTGAGCTGTCTGTTTTTTTAAAGTTTGATTAGTGAAGCGTTTTTAACATTGGATTTCTCCATTTTCCCTTTTGTAATATTTGTAAGTAAGTACATTTATTGAATAAAAACTAAGACAAAAGAAAACGTACTACATTGGCCTTCATCAACGCTGATGTCATCCACAGCCATGTCACCTGTGAAATCATTTCCGCGTTCACCAACAAAAGAAACCTACAGAAATAAAGGAATAAAGGAATGCAGAGTAGACAGTTATACAAGAAAACATCTGGACAAATACAGCTGGGCTTCAGTTTATCCCAAGCTAACAAAATTGGTTATTAAACTTTTTGACACGATTTGGTTTCTGAGAAAAAAAATTCCCTACATTATTAATAGTGTCTTCTATTTTGGTGAGCCATCTTTGTGACAGGAAGCTTTTTTAGCTTCTTACCTGAACTTCAATCCCAGGAGCAATATCTATTGCTGCGTCCAACCACTTGTTACCAGATGTACCATTCGCTGACCAACGGGCAGGGCCAAGACCACCTTGACCATCACCTGTGTATACCGTCAATGATCCCATGTTTGCCCCGTACATGTGGTACCAAAATCTGACACACGCACCAGTGGCAGGTGCAATGGCTTTGGGGCTGTCTAGTCGAGCTTTATCGGATGGAAGTCTTGGACTCGATGCTTCAGTGTAGATGTAGACACCATTTGCTGTAAAAACAATTGTGGAGATGGAAAACATTAATTCAGGTAAACATTGATAATGTTTAGGTTGAAAATTGCAAATTTAAGATTCCACCCAATTTTGGTAAAATATCAGCATACGGTTGTCAAGTAGCTGCATGAGGGCTTACGAAAATAACTTGATGATCGTAAATCTAAGGTATTCCATGTATCAATTAAAATACATGTTTACATGTACACGCATATATACGTGCTTTTGTAGTTGGTTTAACTTACAAGTTCCTAGAGTGTGGTCTGCATTAGGCCCAGTGCCTGAGCTGCCGGTGCCACCGCTATCCAGTGTCCAATCGAAGTCATCATTCTGGCTGTTGTTGAATTGACAAAGGTTGTAGGAATCGAAGTCACATTTCAAATCCATCAATGGCACGGTCGGCCTACCTGTGTACAATTGTGTTAAAGTATATCAAACATTGGAAAAGGGTTGAAATCAAGCAACAAAATAATGTAGTTTTTAATCTGCCTATTCTATCGACCCCAACAGTTAGATCATAACTGTGTTGTTTAATCACTACTGGTATGTTGTGTAATTTAAACACCACACGTTACACGGTACCAGATTGAAACTGTATCTTTTTCTTTAACAGAGTTTCCCACTAACTGTCTGATGTCCTTTGTGGTCCTATTTTTAATTCGTTAAGCTAGAACCTTTTTTTCCAGAATATGTTAAATATATGTCAGTATGTGAAGCAATTGATAATACATAATATACAAGGAATCAACTAATACGTACTGCATTTTTCTTCATGAAAGCTGATGTCATCAATAGCTATGTCACTTGTAAAATCACTTCCACGTTCACCCACAAAAGACACCTGCATCAATAAAGAAATACAAAGTGAAACAAAAACAAACCTCAACAAACGTCGTTACCATAAAGACTTAAGTAGCTGGTCTTCAGATAAATCCAAGCAAATAAAAAAGTTATCAAACTTCCTGACACGTATTAATTATTGTTGGTATTTTGATGATTTTTTTCTTAAGTGACTGTTTCTAAACAAGCATTTTTCTAACTCTGAACCATAAAAGAAACCTTTCGATTGCTTACCTGATATTCAACCCCAGGGTCAATATCTATTGATGCGTCGAACCACTTGTTACTAGCATTACCACTTGCTGACCAGCAGGCAGGGCCAAGACCACCTTGGCCATCACCTGTGTATACCGTCAATGATCCCATGTCTGCCCCGTACATGTGGTACCAAAATCTTACACACGCACCAGTGGCAGGTGCAATGGCTTTGGGGCTGTCTAGTCGAGCTTTATCGGATGGAAGTCTTGGACTCGATGCTTCAGTGTAGATGTAGAAACCACTTGCTGTAAAATGATTCATTAAATTCAGATTCATTCATTCATTCCGGTCTAATATTTCGGTTCTATTTTATTGAAAGATGGACCCTAAGTATTGTACTACAACTTTAATTTTCTGCTAACGAAGTTTGAACAGGAATTTGTATATGAACACAACTGTAACTTTTGGTTCGTCTGCATGTTTGACAAACAAAAGCGTTTTGGTGGACGGCAACAGTTTTTGTGAATTAGATGAGGGAATAGTGCGATAAGTGTAAGGATGATGAATTCCATCACTTAAAATGAACCGCTTTTTGGTCCAAAGTCTCTTTCTAACGTGGGAAGGTTTGTTATCGCCAGCGAAAGGAGCAATTTGAATCTGTCATCAATATTTTTGATGAAGCTTGATATCCTCACAGGCAGTTTATCTTTTCAAGGCTATCAAGTGTAGTAATTTTCCTTTTTAAATTTTGTTTCAATTTTTGTTTTTTCTTTTTGGAAAAGTCAAAACTTTCAAACTCAGAGATGAAAATCAAGTTTGATCAAAATCTGGTAAGGGAAAGGAATAAGCATAGGTCAAGCAGCATGAGAGAAAAGAAATGAAAACCTTCAGAAACACCTTACCTCATCGTGCAGAAATTCACAGGGCAGGAAGAAAATTCTTTTCAAATGTGCTTTTTTAATTAATTTTTACTGCGTATGATTTAACTTACAATTTGTTGTAGAGTGGTCTGAGTCAGGCCCAGTATCTGTGCTTGGGGTGTTGCCGTCATTGAGTGTCCAATCAAAGTCATCGTTCTGGTTGTTTATGAATTGACAAAGGTTGTTGGAATTGAAGTCACAATTCAAGACTGGCAATGGCACAGTTGGGTCTGTTGACAGAGATAGAAAATAATATTAGACGAGTAAAAGGAAGGAGTACACAGACAGAATTCGTTGTGACAAACAAATAATAAAAAATGAAATACATCATTAAAAAAAGTAGTTTTATGCTCTCCGTATAGCTCTTTACTAAAATCAACCTTTTACTGTCAATCATAAACTTGGCCTGCAACACTGATTGAAAATGTGTTATTTCTGATAATTTTAAGGAATTATCCAATTGAGATTTTCAGCTTGCATTCTTTTGGTACTAGTGCGATATTCCGCTATCTGTGTGAATTGAGCTGTCTGCTTTTTTAAAGTTTGATTCGTGAAGCGTTTTTAACATTGGATTTCTCCATTTTCCCTTTTGTAATATTTGTTAGTAAGTACATTTATTGAATAAAAAATAAGACAAAAGAAAACGTACTACATTGGCCTTCATCAACGCTGATGTCATCAACAGCCATGTCACCTGTGAAATCATTTCCGCGTTCACCAACAAAAGAAACCTACAGAAATAAAGGAATAAAGGAATACAGAGTAGAGAGTTATACAAGAAAACATCTGGACATATACAGCTGGGCTTCAGTTTATCCCAAGCTAACAAAATTGGTTATTAAACTTCTTGACACGATTTGGTTTCTGAGAAAAAAACTATTCCCTACATTATTAATAGTGTCTTCTATTTTAGTGAGCCATCTTTGTGACAGGAAGCTTTTTTAGTTTCTTACCTGAATTTCAATCCCAGGAGCAATATCTATTGCTGCTTCCAACCACGTGTTACCAGAGGTACCATTCGCTGACCAGCGGGCAGGGCCAAGACCACCTTGACCATCACCTGTGTATACCGTCAATGATCCCATGCCTGTCCCGTACATGTGGTACCAAAATCTGACACACGCACCAGTGGCAGGTGCAATGGCTTTGGGGCTGTCTAGTCGAGCTTTATCGGATGGAAGTCTTGGACTCGATGCTTCAGTGTAGATGTAGACACCATTTGCTGTAAAAACAATTGTGGGGATGGAAAACATTAATTCAGGTAAACATTGATAATGTTTAGGTTGAAAATTGCAAACTTAAGATTCAACCTAATTTTGGTAAAATATCAGCATACGGTAGTGAAGTAGCTGCATGAGGGCATACGAAAATAACTTGATGATCGAAAATCTAAGGTATTCCATGTATCAATTAAAATACAAGTTTACATGTTCACGCATATATACGTGCTTTTCTTGTTGGTTTAACTTACAAGTTCCTAGAGTGTGGTCTGCATTAGGCCCAGTGCCTGAGCTGGGTGTGCCACCGTTATCGAGTGTCCAATCGAAGTCATCGTTCTGGCTGTTGTTGAATCGACATAGGTTGTAGGAATCGAAGTCACATTTCAAATCCATCAATGGCACGGTCGGTCTACCTGTGAACAATTGTGTTAAAGTATATCAAAAATTGTAAAAGGGTGGAATTCAAGCAACAAAATAATGTAGCTTTTAATCAGCCTATTCTATCGACTCCAACAGTTAGATCATAACTTTGTTGTGTAATCACTACCGGTATGTTGTGTAATTTAAACACCACACGTTACACGGTTCCAGATTGAAACTGTATCTTTTTCTTTAACAGCGTTTCCCACCAACTGTCTGATGATTTTTGTGGTCCTATTTTTAATTCGTTAAACTAGAACTTGTTTTTCCAGAATATGTTAAATATATGTCAGTATGTGAAGCAATTGATAATACATAATATACAAGGAATCAAATAATACGTACTACATTTTTCTTCATGAACGCTGATGTCATCAATAGCTATGTCACTTGTAAAATCACTTCCACATTCACCCACAAAAGACACCTGCATAAATAAAGAAATACAAAGTGAAACAAAAACAAACCTCAACAAACATCGTTACCATAAAGACTTAAGTAGCTGTTCTTCAGATAAATCCAAGCAAATAAAATAGGTTATCAAACTTCCTGACACGTATTAATTATTGTTGGTATTTTGATGATTTTTTTCTTAAGTGACTGTTTCTAATCAAGCATTTTTCTAACTCTGAACCATACAACAAACCTTTCGCTTGCTTACCTGAAATTCAACCCCAGGGTCAATATCTATTGATGCGTCGAACCACTTGTTACCAGAGGTACCATTCGCTGACCAGCGGGCAGGGCCAAGACCACCTTGACCATCACCTGTGTAGACCGTCAATGATCCCATGCCTGTTCCGTACATGTGGTACCAAAATCTGACACACGCACCAGTGGCAGGTGCAATGGCTTTGGGGCTGTCTAGTCGAGCTTTATCGGATGGAAGTCTTGGAATCGATGCTTCAGTGTAGATGTAGACACCATTTGCTGTAAAAACAATTGTGGGGATGGAGAACATTAATTCAGGTAAACATTGATAATGTTTAGGTTGAAAATTGCAAACTTAAGATTTAACCTAATTTTGGTAAAATATCAGCATACGGTAGTGAAGTAGCTGCATGAGGGCATACGAAAATAACTTGATGATCGAAAATCTAAGGTATTCCATGTATCAATTAAAATACAAGTTTACATGTTCACGCATATATACGTGCTTTTCTTGTTGGTTTAACTTACAAGTTCCTAGAGTGTGGTCTGCATTAGGCCCAGTGCCTGAGCTGGGTGTGCCACCGTTATCGAGTGTCCAATCGAAGTCATCGTTCTGGCTGTTGTTGAATCGACATAGGTTGTAGGAATCGAAGTCACATTTCAAATCCATCAATGGCACGGTCGGCCTACCTGTGAACAATTGTGTTAAATTATATCAAAAATTGTAAAAGGGTGGAATTCAAGCAACAACATAATGTAGCTTTTAATCAGCCTATTCTATCGACTCCAACAGTAAGATCATAACTTTGTTGTGTAATCACTACCGGTATGTTGTGTAATTATATCAAAAATCGTAAAAGGGTGGAATTCAAACAACAAAATAATGTAGCTTTTAACAGTAGACGTGTATTTTGTGAAATATTGTGATATTTGCCCGCATCGTGATTTTTTTCCACAATTTATTGTTGCACACTACAAAATTCACTGATGAGTCACGGTATTGCAAAAAAAAATGCACTGCTTGTCGTGAAAAAAAAGACATTTCTACGGAAGTTTATTCAGCCCATGTCAAAAAAAAAAATTGCGGCTCACTATTTCGCTCGGGCGGATTACTTTTTAGCCCGGGTGGATTAATGTTTCGCCCTTGCGGATTACTGTTTCGCCCTGGCGGATTACTGTTTCGCCCCTTGCGGATTACTGTTTCGCCTCTGATGGATTACTGTTTCGCCCTGGCGGATTACTGTTTCGCCCTGGCGGATTACTGTTTTGCCCTGGCGGATTACTGTTTCGCCCCTTGCGGATTACTGTTTCGCCTCTGGCGGATTACTGTTTCGCCCTGGCGGATTACTGTTTCGCACCTGGCGGATTACTGTTTCGCCAGGGCGGATTAGTATTTCTCCCTGTTGGATTACTGTTTGAACTCAAAACGGCTCAAATGAATACATAACTTAAATACTGCTGCACTTTATTACAATTCTAGTAAAATGTTAAATAGGGGATTCCAATTACAAAGAATGACATGATGACGTCATAACCTAGAACACGTCAAAGAAACTATTTATAATTCTTTTTAAATTTAAAAACCATTTGATGTAATTTTACCGAATTTCCAATAAAGATTTCAGCTCTGTTGTTGACGAAAGGCATCCTAATGTTATGACGTCATCAAACCGGAGGTGTAATTTCTATATACACGTTTACATCCGTTTTATGTTTTTTTTTTTAGTTCTTTTCGCTAAACATGTGTACCTCGCATGTGTATATCTGGTCGCAATTACATTGTAAATCCTAATTCATTTTGCACATTTCAGCCGATGACGTCATCTAACCGGAAGTAATGTACAAATAAAATATGCCATGAAACATTTCAAAACCTAAGTGATCAGTTTTCAAATTTGGAAGTTGTTATGCTGAACTTCATCGGTGTTTTCTTAGATAAAATATTCGCAACTAATAGGAACAAAGTTGGCGCCCTATCACCCTGCGCCTGATGACGCAAAAAAATAATATGATAAATGCATGCATTTAATTATTAGAAACATGCTCTTAGCCCATACAAATTCATTTCAAGCATTTTTTGGTTTTGCTTCGATGAATCAAATTCAATTTGGCTGCCAATGTGGCTGCCAAAAATGGTCAATGTTGAGAATAACCATATGTTGGCCATAAATGTAAGTGATATGTATAAGTGAAAGTTGATATTATGTACTTGAGACTTCATTGCATATCTGGATTTGTCTTACTTGCATTTTTCTAACATGTTCCAAATTCCGGCCAGGCTGCCATTACCGGCCGGATTAAGTACCGCGTCACCGACACCACGAAGTAACACCCATCTACATACCAGTAAAAACTAGCAATCGGAGAAAACGGCAACTAAACTTGAACGCCTTCTAAAACAACACTTTGCGTCAAAACGACAGAGTATTTTCAGTTGGGTTTCTCGTTGTGGACACTTGATGAATTGAATTGATTAAATCTGCTGTTTTTCACTCGTAACTGTAAATTTTCGTTTTCACGAAGTAACACTCTCCAATGTATTTAACACGAGGAAAGTGCAACTTCAGGTCAGCGCGCGCGCGCTCATACAACTTGTTACAAAAAGAGTGTTACTTCGTGAAAACGTTTTTGCTCACTTATGAGCAGAGTGCACGCCATGCATTGCAATGGAAATGGAACTTGAGTGTTACTTCGTGAAAACGAAAATTGTCACTTTTGGCAAAAGTTGCCATGGATACTTAGCGTAATTATTAAAGCAAAGCTCTTGAAGGTTTGAAACTTCGTGCAATGGTAGGCCTTGATGAATAATGTTTAAAAATCCAAAAAACTGAAAATCGAAAAAAACATGCTTTAACACGGTAGAGTGTTACTTCGTGGTGTCGGTGACGACCGGTACAGGCCAGCCCTTTGCTCGGCCGGCTAGTTTAATCCTCTTCAAACCGGCAGAGCAACCGGCCAGAGTAATGATAATTAATTCGGTGTTTTCTGCTATCTCTTTTGGTAGATTTTACTTTCATTGAAACCAAACTGTTAGGTAATACGCTAAAACGAAATGCAATGAATAAATATATGCTAGCCATCCATCTGTGGAAAGATAGAGTCTGGAAGCTTGTTTACGCACATCTTCATACAATAGACACTAATCCGCTTAGAACTCTTTGTTTAACTCTGGAGGCTGACAGGCTGCGTACCAGTAGGTTGTTCGTTGATTGACTTTGAAGTGTCGCCGAGATACTGGAGCAAAACCGCCATTATGGTCGCGAAGGCGAAGCATGGTAAATTCGTAAACCCCCAAAAACATGGCCTTTGGAACGATGTGTTTCTCAGAAAATATGCTCAGTATGATTAAAATGTTAAATTGTAACGGAAGAAATTATAAATTTCAAGTCAGTGAAAAAAAGGCCGTCATCGATGCCAAAACCTCAATACTGGTTACTGGTAAAGCAGACCTTCAAGTCTGGAAGTAATCGTTGGAAAACGTCTTCAAATTCTAGGAATTTACGAAAAAGTTGTTATTTTTTACGAGTAGTTCAACACTTATACCATCGAAGTATATTCCAAATTTAGGCTTAATCTGTTGTTGCTAACGCTTGTGTTACTGCTTGAACTATCTCTAAGGAAAATCTCGACGAGGATTTTTCCTACCCGACCCACTTGCATGGTTTGCATAGCGCCGTATAGGCGCTACGGTTGACCAATTTTGGCCTGGCGGCACAATAACGACGGGTATATTAGCATATTCATTAGTGTCGCCTGGCGTGACTTGGCGTGGGTCTCGGTATCGACTAATGCGGAAGCCGGCAAAAAAGGTGATATTTATTAATTAATAGCTCGTGGAAAAGGTTTTTATGCACATTCCTTGTCCTAAGGGTCGTTTTCACAAAAGGGCGACAGTTATATGTCGCCTTAATAAGGTGTGTCGCCCTATTGTGGACGGAGTTAGCAAAATCTGTCGCCCTATCCTAGCTGTTAGTAAAATAATATAAATAATTATAATAAAAATGATAATAATTACCCTGTATTGGACATTTGGGAGCTAGACATCCCCATAGACTTGTGCACAAAGTTGTTCAAACATAAATGTGCCCCAACCCAATATTCCCTTGTCCTTTTCCCACGAATTTCGGTATGTTCACTAATTAAAGCAACAAATACAATCTAATTGCGACAACAAAATTGTGCCTCTAAAGGGGGGCTGTGACATTAGGGAGACATGAAAATGTCCCCCTAATGACCGTTGTCTCCCATGGTGCAAAGAAATTACGATAACGTGTCTTATAACGCGCTCTACCAAGATCACAGCGCCTAACAAAAAGGAGGAAAACACAGAGGGGTCGGGACAACAAAGCAGTACTAACAATAACAACATGGGGGGGGGGGGGGGGGGACAGAGGCATTAAGAGAGATCTGGGAAAAGGAAAGTATTTAAAGAACGCTTGAAAGTTGACACCAACTCCGCCTCTCTCAGATCAACAGGAAGCTCGTTTCAAGGATGCGGCGCTGCAACCTTGAAAGAGTTATCCCCGGCTCTCTTGTTGGATCTTGGGAGAGAAAGCCGGGTGTGATCAGAAGATGAGCAGAATCGGTGTCTGTGGGAAGCTGAAGCATTGAGTAACTGTATGAGGTTGGTCAAGTAGGTTGGGGATAGAGCACGAAGGCACTTGTATAGTAGGGTGAGAATTTTAAAGGAGATCCGCTGCTTGACAGGGAGCCAGTGAAGCTCTACCAACAGGTCAGCAGAGGGTTGGTCCCGTCCACACACACACAAAGACTAGCCGAGCAGCTTTATTTTAAAGGTGCTACGAGCGCCTAAGGTCTGAATCGTGTGCACCGAGCAAGAGAGAATTGGCGTTGTCTAGACGGGACAGGACAAGACCTCTGACGGCCTGATGGCAGGCATCTTGTGTAATGAATCGGCGAATGCGCCAGAGATAACGTATGTGGAAGTTAATGGTCTTGCAAAGAAAATTAACTTGCTGGGACATATTTAGAGAACCATCCAAGGTGACACCTAGTTCTTAATGGACTTGGAAACAGGAATAGAAAGACTACCTAATTTCAGCTCAAGGTCAGAGAATGTCGGTAAAATACGGATGTTCGCAAAGAGAAAGAATTCGGTTTTGTCCTGGTTTAACTGCAGCATGTTGTGAATCATCCATTTGTTAATCATGGAAACACGTGAGAATAGCTTGGATAGCACGCCCTGACAATTACCCTCAGTTCGAGGTTCAAATTCGGCATATAGCTGAATATCGTCGGCATATGCGTGAAACCCGATATCAAATTCACGAATGACTAAAAGTAATGAACACATCACAACGAGTTTTAGCACATAATTGGATCATTATAATAGTCGGGTGGGAAGAAGGGGGGATCATGCACCCTCGGAAATCAAATTCTAATCAATGTCTGATTCAAAGACGTAAAGACGTTTCTGATCTAAAGACGTAAATTAGAAATTGATTTCCAAGAGTGCAATAAACCATAAGGGAAATAAACCCTGAAAGTTGCATGAGGATGCGGTCTTCCAAACGGGAGAAATTAATTTTCACAGATGTCTCCTGGCTGTGCGAACGTGTCTGTGCACATGTAGTTTCATTCAAAATAAAGTGTTACGTAACCTTTAGAATTCACCCTTCGCAACCACATGGCTGTTGTACCGGCCAAGAGGGGCAAAAATACCGGGGTTT